AGCTATTAATTATCCATGGTCTCCATAGTGATGTGAGGTCCAAATAGATCGGGAGCATGTTGTCTCAACAAAGGGCAAAGATGCAACTAGCAGAATAATTGTTCTGGGTTTTTATTAGAACATGTGACCTGTTTGTTTTGGGTTTTTTTTGTGATAGTTTAGTGCACCTGGTTTAGGGCAATCCTGATGTCAGCTCGTGGAAGTCACCAATTCTTTTTCATTTAAAGAACAAATTTAAAAATTCAAGAACTTTTTGGTCTTGGCTGCATATAACATTTTGTATTGCATAGTAACAAATTAGCTAAAGTGATACTAAACTCAGGAGTTAAATCTTAAAAATGCATTTAAGTACCTTAACTATTAACAAAAATGTATCTTATTTGTATATCACTTGGCTATAGAGCCTCAAATCATCTCTGAATTGGTTTTGACACTCTCCTTCCTTCTGGAGGGGGGCTACTTTTGTTCCCCATGGTCCCTGCGTGTGTTGTAAAGTAGTCACCGCTCCAAGCTCATTCCTGTGATGGACTACAATCTCACATTTAGTTTACTAATTTTATTGAGATTGTAGTCCATAATGAGAGCTCGCTTGGAGTGTACTCCATTGAAACGGGGTCTTTGTCAGGCTAGCTCATAGTGAATAATGGCAATGGTATACATGTGACAGGAGCCTATAGAGATGCAGGATATGCATGTTAATAGAAGACCCCAATAAAGAACACTATGCATGTTGGCATGCTTGATGCATATGTGCTGGCATTTGTAGTTCATCAGCATCTTGAGTATGCCAGGTTGCTCATGCCTCGATCACAATATTTTTTTTAAAATTGTGTTGGATGTAAGCCGTAAGTACAGTAAATATAGTAGCAATATCTTCATGAATGGAGCTGTCTTGCATGCAGAAGGGAATGCGATGAGAAAACATAGTGATCTCTTGTCTTTCCCCTTAAGGTAATTCCATCTAATTACAAAGACGTTCCATCTCCTACTGCTGGCAAAAACTGTATTGACTTTGTGAGCAGCTTTTGTTCCTGGCCCGGATGCTGAATTAATATAGTAGAATTTCTTTGTGTTTAGCTAAGGAGTGTAAGAAAATCTTAATTCTCGTCTAACCATCCGATTTAGAGGTGATGGTATTAACATGTCAGACGATCTTACCTTGTTTTGATTCGAGATGTAACATTTCCTATAATAAGACTACTATAAATGCTTAAAGGGGTTCTAAACCCTCCGTTTTTTTGGCCTATATCTACTGCTAGCAAGTTTAACAGCGGTTTACACTTACCCTGTTTTCACCGCGCGCTCCTGCCCGAGAATCCGAAACTGCTCAGGCGGCCGCAAAGCATCTTGGGGCGGGCGCATGCACAGTCCGGTTTTCGGGCGGGAGACGAGCAGAGACGCAAGGTAAGTCTATGGACGCGTGCACCCGCATGCAGACACCGCTGGATCGTAAGTGCCTGCAGCAGAGAGGAGTCAGCGCTGGATCGGAGAGCCGCGGCACAGCTGGAGGGACAGATGAAAACATCAGGAAAGAAGAGGGAGATCGGATTAAGAAACCTAATTTAAGGGAAGTGCTAACATTGGGGGGAGGGAATTTTTTTTAACTTTAATGTCACTTTAACTAGAAATAAAACAACTCTGTGTACTTGGTAGAATAGAAATTGAATACAGAGTAGATGTTTATGTTGACCTAAACTCAAAAAGTGAAGGTTTGGTATGTTGTCGGAAACATTTAGGGGGTTATTCACTATGGAGCCAAAGGATACAGCCATTGCTTTGGCTGATCCTTTGGCTATCTTAGGCCTCCGGAGCCCTTTGTGACCGAAGGGCTGCTGTACGGGCAATTCACAATAGCCCGTACAGCAGACAAAGCAGCTGAGCGGCTCAGCTGAGCTGAAGACATATGCTTTGGCTCGACTGAGCCGAAGTGACAGCAGAAGCATGGAGAAAGGTCGGCTGAAGCCGGCCGATCTCCAGTCAAATGACAGCTGGGCGGCTGTGATCTCACGGCCCGCTCCGCCCAATTGTAATGACAGATCAGCGTCTCCAAATAACCTGGGACCCTGATCTGTCATTAAACAATAACAACTGGGTCAGAGCCGGCCGTGACGTCACGGCCAACTCTGCCCAGTTATTCATTGGCCGGGACCTGCTAGAAGACTCTGGCAGGTTCTGGCCAATAGGAAACAGTTGGGTGGAGCTAGCTGTCACTGCTAGCTACGCCCAATTGCTTTTTCTTTGGCGGCGTTTTTTAAAATTATTTTAAATTTTCTTTTTTTTCTTTCTTTAACCTCTTGCCGTCCGCCCGTAGTAGAAAAACGGACGGACGGCACTGCTGCATCTGCGGGTTGCCGTCTCCAGACGGCAATTTTTTTCTGCTCGCGCGCCCCCTAGCAGAAATTTTCTTTTACATTTTCCTATTTATTTACATTTTTTAAATAATTTTTCAACTTTTTTTTTTCCTTATTTATTTCACTTATTTTCGATTCTGCTCTGTACCTCGGTGGTACCGAGCAGAATAGCCGAGCGAACCCCGAGTTCACTCACTGCCGTTTGGCCCCCTATGAGAATAGGGGTGAATGGCAGCGAGTGAGCTGACAGAGCTTCGGCTCAGCCGATCCAGATGTTGGATCAGCTGAGTCGAAGTCCCTCTGCACTTCGGCTCAGCCATGCAGAGCATGTTCAGCTGACTGAACGCAGCCTATGTATGGCTGAAATCAGCCGTACTGAGCAGGAGTGAATAGCCAAACGTCATTAGGCTCACTTCACTTCGGCTGAGTTATTCCGGCAGCTTTGTGAATAACCCCCTTAGAAATGTTAATTGTGCCTTGGAGCTATCCTGAAAAATTTAACCTTTTGTGTTGAATTCCTCCTGAAACATAGCAGAAGACTTCCTGGTATGTGAGTGTGCCTGGGCACTCCTGTGTCCTACAGTCTTAGAGTAGCGTGAGATCTGAATCACTGCTGCCTCTGACTGCTAGGCTCACAAGAGTTGAAAGTGGCAGAACACTGACACACTGCATGTAAACGTATGTGATATGACTACATGCCCTCACCAGTCATCAGATCACCAGGCAGCAGAGCAGCAGTTCTGACCTGGGGAAGCAGAGCCCTGCTCCTCTACCAAGATGGCAGCAGCCACACAGTGATACATTGCAAAACAAGGCATGACAAGTCAGGCAATACTGGCGACTAGTCATTTTCCCTCTGCTTGCCTTTTTCAGGCACATTATTCACACTTTAGGTTTTTTTAAAACAAAGTGACATGGATCATAATTAAAACAATACCCAGTAAACTTACAGATAATTTAGACACATTTTTGGTTTGAAGCCCATGGGTCACACTGTCTACCACCAGACTTTGACCACTATGTCTTGGAGCTGTAACAGTCTACTACCAAAGGAGTAGGGAAATTTAAAGATGTCTTATTCAACCTATGCTGTCCTTTATCCTGGCCATCTGTACCCTTCCTGTCTAACATCTCTTGCCTTCCAGTATATCCAGTATATATATAGATATATATCTATATATATATCTATATATATAGATATATATATAGATATATATATAGATATATATCTATATATATATCTATATATATATATTGTATATATATTCCTTTCCCCTGTTAAGACTTGCCTCTACTCTTTCTGGTAATTAATATAATCCTACTAAATAGATAGCAATGTTAACCTCAGCTTTATTTTAGTTATGGCTTTTACCACTGTTTGTCTTGGCAGTGTTAAGCACTATTTGATCAAATACAGCTATTTTTACATTCACACACTGAAATGCTGGCTATACCTTGGTACCATGTTGTGTATATATACTGCTTATTGACACCAGCTGTTAAAAAACCAATAAAATATATTGAACAAGGAAAAAAGGCCAGAGGCTTCCGAGACCTTTCAATAGCAAATTTAAAATATCATTCTAGGACTCTCCTAAGCATTGCCTACGTACATGCTGGCCTTATTACACATCCCCAGTGGCAACCCTTTCAATCTATCACTTACAATTTGTGGGGTCTCCATACAGCTAACCGTGATTCATGATGCATTGCTGGAGATAGGCACAGACATGTTATAGCTCCCACAGACTTTCACTGGGGCAGGCACAGAAGATAAATTATTCAGGGTTCCTGTTCTGGGAAATTGGCAAATTTACACATTGAAAGCCTTCCCATGTTTAGGAAATGGTAGTTCTTAGTTCTCTACTATAGATCTGCAGTGGGCTGCCCAATATTTCCCCTATACTCTCTTTGCCGGACTGTCAAAATGATCATTATCCATCATCGTCTGCCTTATTAGATACCTTAATGACTATTGAGAAAAAGATGTCAATAGTTGGTTTTACTTAACATATTGTATGCATAGCTAGGCACAGACCAGCTGTAGAGATACAGTTACTGTCACTTTCACTTGCATTTCCTTTGACACATCAAGTAGATTGCTCGGCTTTGATTTCAAGTTCAACGATGCACAGATTGCTTTTTCATTTTTTTTATATTAAGTGATCCAGTCCCATAGTTCTATCATTTGTTTCCCATAACCCCCCCCCCCC